TTCCGTTTTTTACCATTTGTTATCTGTTAATCGCTATTCATTACCTGCTACTGCTATTTGTTATCCAGTACCTAGTACCTACTTTCTGTTGAATTTTAACTGTTATACTGAGTAAGCCTTTAAAAATTCATGTTCCAATCATAAAATGCCTTGTTCCTCTTTAAATCCTAAGTCTGATGTTCCCTCCCCTCAAATTCGCATGTTAAAAGAAACTAATCCTTTCCAAAATTTTTGGATTGGAACTAAAATGAGATGATGTGAAAGAGTTTAGTAAGGATTGTTAACAAGTGAAGTGGAGTTGTGTGTTTAGATATTCATGATCAAATTTACTTTAAAAATTCAAAAATCTAATAACTGAGTTTATATTTAAGTTAATAAGTATTTAAACGAATTTGAGCTTACTTGTGAGCTAAGTAAACATGTACTTAAAATTGAATTTGTGCTTTTTTACTATATTCTCAAAATGTTTTAATAACCAACTATTTAATTATAAATTGTTTTATATTCTTTTAGAAATATTGTAGTATTAAAAGTTTAAACAAAAGTATCATATTAAGTCTAGCAGTAAAAAAAAAAAAAAACAACAATAAACTTCATTCAAACATTTTTATTAATAGTTCTAAAAACCTTAAATTATATAATTGATTTAAATTCTCTTTTCAACATTGTTAAATTTATGTTATTAGATATTTAAATTTAATAAATAAATATATAATATAGTAATTTTTAATTTTAAACTGAATACTTGTGAGTTGTTTACAAATAATTATATAATCTTGCGCTCAAGCTCTTTTTTTTTATCGATCCAAACTCATCAATTGAGTTAACTCAAGTCAAATTTAACTCAAGTAACTCATGAGTTACTTATGAACCAGCAACAACCCTAGCCACATTATCGCACACTAATTGTAATTATAGAAAATCTTCAACCCTTCTCCAGTTTAGATCTTCTCGTTTGATTGACTTACAAAGTCTCGATATTAGATCTCAAGATAGACGCCTCAATATTTAAGTCAATAATAATTTGGTCTACTAAAAAGGAAACAAGAAGAAAGTTTTAGATCGATTTCAAGTACCTGTAGTAGATGGCCTTTGGGGGTGTTTATAGGCCTTAAGAGAGTATCCACATAGTCCTTTTGGCAAAATAATCAAGATATGACATGGCTAACGAAGCAAACATCTTGGAATAGGAGATTAGTTGGGTATAGTTTCACTGTATCTATTGCACAATTGTAGGAAGGTGACTTTGACTTTGGTCATCGAGTCATCTAACCTCAGTTATATTTACCTCGAGGCAATTCTTGATCTTAATGACATGATTTAGGGTGTCCGAGATCAATGAGCTTGGAGATATACTTACACTGATTTTAAATTTCTAACAGTAATTAAGCACTAATCTTCTCTTTTCTTTTTCTTTTTTTTTTGAATTATCCATCTTCAAAAGGGGGAAAAAATGGTATTAGATAGAATTTAGAAATGAGTTTGTGTTATTACTTTTTCAAGTCACCGCATCTGCTTGATTGGATTTGTAGACCAAGACCTTCTGGGCTTTGGACTACAAAATTTTCTGATGTGAGCCCTCATTTTCATTTCCCAATTGTCAGC